GACGTGAATGGATCTAGAGACTGTCATACAGAGTGAAGTAAGTCAGAAAGAGAAAAACAAATATTGTATGTTAACGCATGTATGTGGAACCTAGAAAAATGGTACAGATGAACCGGTTTGCAGGGCAGAAGTTGAGACACAGATGTAGAGAACAAACGTATGGACACCAAGAGGGGAAAGCCATGGGGGGTGGGGATGGTGGTGTGATGAATTGGGCAATTGGGATTGACATATATACACTGATGTGTATAAAATTGATGACTAATAAGAACCTGTTGTATAAAAAAATAAAATAAAATTCAAAAATTAAAAAACAAACAAACAAAATAAAACAAAGCCCTGGGGGACTTCCCTGGTGGTGCAGTGGTTAAGAATCCGCCTGCCAATGCAGGGGACATGAGTTCAATCTCTGGTCCAGGAAGATCCCACATGCCGCAGAGCAACTAAGCCCGTGCGCCACAACTACTGAGCCTGTGCTCTAGAGCCCGTGAGCAACAACTACTGAAGCCCGCGTACCTAGAGCCTGTGCTCCGCAACACGAGAAGCCACCGCAATGAGAAGCCTGCACACCGCAACGAAGAGTAGCCCCCACTCGCTGCAACTAGAGAAAGCCCATGTGGCTGCAATGAAGACCCAACGCAGCAAAAAATAAATAAACAAATAAACTTATTAAAAAACAAAATTAGGAACAGAACTACCATTTCTCTGTCCTTCAGGGAGCAAGCGGTGGGGTGTTCTGGAGCCTCTAGGATCTTCAGTATTTTTGCACCCCATTCCTCCTGGGTACAGGTGTATAGCGTGGCACGCCCACCTCCTCGCAGCAGGGGCACTACTACGGGCTGCCACCAAGGGGAGTGGGTGGGCGAAGACTGCAAAATACGGAGCAGAATCCGGTCTTCTCAGTCCCTGATCTCAGGCACTGCTGGTCTGGTCCGGTGGGAGCTGACAGCTTGGGCCTCCCGGCTGATGGAACTAGGCTCCACTCCGTGGGGTCCTTGATTGGATCCGACCTGCACT